AAATCTCCTTATCAAAGTCATTTTCATCTCAACTCGGACGAGTCGACAACCAACTCGGCGATTTCGAGCGAGTTCGAGCGTTTCGCGAGCGGAGCCTATATAAAGCGATGGAATTCCACGAATAGTATAGTACTTGTAACACCGTCTGTCTAACCCGATTTTCTTTCCCAATTCCTACCAAAATTCAATGGCAAAACGGGCCGACGTTGATTCCAATTCCTACTCACTCAAGAAATTTAAGCTCTACGAGACGAGAGCGGTAAGGATATGGAATTTTGAATCATTTATTTTGACTTTTGTGTTTCCTGTTTGTTTCTTAGGAAAATGAAGGAATAATGATGTGAAGAAGAGGTAAATCGAAAAATTTTAATGCTTTTTGCATATCAGAGTGACTGGGGAAACGAGTTCTACACCTTCCTGCTTTGGCTCAGATCAATGGAAAAATGCTTTTTGCAGCTCAGAGTGACTGGGGGAACGAGTTCTATACCTTCCTCTTTTGGCTCAGATCAATGGAAAAAGAGTTATTTGCAATTTTTTAAGAGAAAAATGAAATTGATCCGGAGTTAGTATTAAGACTTCTGTGTTCTGTTTGGTTGCCAAGAAAATGTGACTGCTTTTTTTGTTTTTTTAATCAAATCATCTATTGCATCGTTCAATTGACCCTGATTTTCACCCTTTTTTTTTTTTTCTTTTCTAGAAATGAAGTTAATAAAAATAGAGGTTTAGTTAAATCCTAAAATGGAGTTTGGCTTGGCTTGGCCTTTGTTGGAAACGCTTATGGGATTGCAGGTTAATGTTGGGTTGTTCTTATTCTGGCACTTAAAGGATGGATCCTATGGAGATACTCCAATTGGCTTTGATCATTGCAGGTTGCATTAAGTTTTTGGAGTCATACTACTTGATCCTGGTCACAAAGAGGCATCAAATTGGATGTATATGTGGTCATTCAATATATGGTATTGATGAAAACCAGTTGATTGCTATTCCACATGTCTCTATTCAATCTGATGTGGCACATTCCAAAACTGAGCTAAGGTATTTCCTTCATTTTTTTTTTTTTTTAAATTTAAAAACCATAGCTTTGAAATGATTATGGAACAATAATTTCCAGTTCAGACACAGAAGCAACATATGACTGAAGTTGATGGATGGTGTTATAAGTTGGATCAAATTGATTCAATTTTAGGGTTCTTATTGAACCAAGCACAAGTTTACCAAACAGAATTGTTAAGAAGTTAGGGGCCAGTGGTGTCTTGTCTTCAATTTGTTCCATAATTTACATGCATTCTTTATTCACGCCAGCTAGTGAGGTTGCTTTCCCACTTGTGTAGTTTTGAATTATTCTTACTCATTTTTCTTTACATTGGCTATTAACTGCAGGTACAAAAAGTTGCCATCCAGTGTGGATTTCACCAAAGATTTTTTCTACAGTTATACATATCCCATAATGCAAAGTTTGCAAAGAAATGTATTGCACACAGGAGAAGAAGGGATGCCATATAATAATATATTTGTCTGGAATTCCTATTTAACTCAAGCTATTCGATTGAAATGCAACAATACTTTCTGGACAATAGCATTAGTTCATGGGCATTTTAAACAGGTAAATAGTATTTCGCAAAAGTCATCTTCCATTTGTCCTTATCTCTCTGCCTTGTTGTGAATAATGTTTCCTTTAACGTCATATCTCTTTCTTTTTTTCATCTTATGTCTTATTTTCCTATGTTTCTAGTCAAAAAAAAAAAAAAATTCTTATGTCTTATTATTTGATTGCATTGAGGTGCTGTAATTATCTTGAACTTCCGTTAGCTAGTTAGCCTTTTTTATTGATCCTTCTTGTATTTGATCAATGTACAAGTTTAAATTGATGGTTCACTGGTCATGCAAATTTTGCTTGGTCGGGACCAAAGTTATGCGGAAAGCTGGTTAAATTGGGGTAAAGATTTGAAGAGTGAAACTATTTTAAGAAAAAGGGGATTCCTTGAATTAAGTTTAGCAAAATTGGAAGAAT